TGTATATTCACCATGCCAAGATGTCTATATAATTCAACGTCAATGCCGTGTAAATGAATCTTTCTGTACTGATATGATACCCGAATTCGATATAGTGCACGTACTCGTTTGCAACACAAGTGTGTGGGCATCAATGTTTAAAATGTGAATATTTATATATCCATTTGAATGGACAATAAAAGGTAGAAATGTGTATACATTAACTTACAAAGACGATACTACTATTACACTTAATTGTAAATTGCCGCATAAATGATTCTGAATCCAATAATAGACCCATCTTGAGAAGGGGAAATCCTAACAACATTGCTGTTAATATAAATAATGCATTCACCGAATGCTCATATACTCAGAGGCTTTAACACTCGAAGAAAAGAGGGGGCGCAAAGTGTTTGAGAAACGATATATTTAATATATAACATGAATTACTTAGTTTGTGATGACAATCTTACCACGTGCTCTATTAGTCTCGAGCGCTTCGAAGGCCTTGATGGATTCGTCGAGGGGGAATGTTGTCACGTGCGCAACCTTGACCTTGTTCGAATCAACCATAGATGCAATCTTCTTCAGTTGCTCGCCCGAGACAGCGACAAGGAACGATTTGCCCACCTTATCATCCCCCGCCTCTTTTGCCAACTCAGGCACATCTGTATTCGCAATAGATACGATGATACCGCCCTTCTTCAAGGCTCTGATACCTGCGGCTGTTTGGTCTCCTCCCACACAGTCATACACCACATCGAACCCATCGGGATGACTCTCCTTGACTTGTGCATCCACGTCCCCTTTAGTATAGTCAACTACCTCAGCACCGAGTTCCTCGACCATGTCCACATTGCGGTGACTGCATGAGCCCGTTACTTTGATACCAGCATCCTTCGCAAACTGCACTGCAAACGAACCCACACCACCAGAAGCGCCCAGTACCAACAAGCTCTGACCTTCCTTCATAAGTCCTTGATCGAAAACGCCTTGGTATGCTGTAAGTCCCGCCAGAGGGATACCTCCAGCTTCAGAGTGGTTGATTGACTTCGGCTTGTGCGCAGCCTTCCACTCAGCCACTTTGACATACTCAGCACAACATCCATCCCGTCCGATAGGGTCCTCTGTTGCTGCGTATTCGGGATTATCGAAAGCCGGACGGTTGTACGAGTACACCTCGTCACCAACCTTGAAGTTGGTGACTTCGGATCCGACCTCCACAACTGTTCCTGATACATCCCAGCCAGTGATGATAGGCAATTCCATAGGCCATGCATCCTTTAGATAACCAGCGCGTATCTTCCAGTCAACTGGGTTTATACCAGCCCCTTTCATCTCGACAATTAGGTCCTTGGCTCCTGCGGTGGGGCGAGGACGACCAACCACACTCATCTTGGAGAGGTCTCCAAACTCTTCGAAAAAAACAGCTTTCATTTTGTATTGTATTATATTATGGGGTGACACTCTAGTGCGGATATGTATATAGTGCTATCAGAGAGTCTAAGTATCGCTTATATATACCTTTTCCACCGCTGTCTATTTAGTAGCTGAAGAACAGTGTCGTGAATTCGAGTGCTTTTTTAGTCTTTTTTACCCTCTTGTGACACTCTTCAGTAATCTCTAGTGAGTGGTGACTGGTGAGTACATACTAAATACATACTAAAAGTAGAGACTGTATTTGCTATGTAGCAAATATGTAAACAGAGTAAAAGTAATTACAAGCAGCATTGTCTGTATTTTCGGGTTTTTTGGCTAGATTTTGCTTCACACTCTCAATATTTATTGTTTGTATCCAATCACCAGTGCTTTGCCTTGTCGATCAATTGTTTGTAACTTTTCCTGAAATTCCGTTGATATACATTTATGTTTAACAATACACCAATAAAATGATATTTATATTCTCAAACTAAAATCGATTGATCCGACTCACCGACTCACGACTGTAGCACAGAAGTCAGAATTGTATAGAGGGTTAAGGACCTTAAGGAGTAAGGGTATTCCATATCTGGTTCTCCAACCAGTGGCAACCACTGCAATTATCGTAATGGCCACCCTCTTTTTGAATTCTACTCTCTCTGACTCTACTCTAGTAGGGAGAAAGAGAGACTGAAAATTTAGTAGGGGTCATGGCTCTTGGACGCTCACACGATGGGTCACGTGTGCACAGGGTGATCACAGATCACAGTGGTCAGTGATGACTTGATGGGTTATGGGAGTGTGTCAGACTGCCACAGTGGCTGTGGGACTGACCTGTCAGCCTGTCGTCCTGAAGCTCCTGATTCCTGAACGTCAAAATAGTGTCACCGGTGAGTCAGTGACCACTGACCAGCGGTGTCAGACTGTCAGTGTGTCACTGATTTTGGTAAAAATCTAAGTTGTAATTATCTTTTGGTTTTTGTTGTTGTTGTGTTTTTGTTTGTGATCATTTGTTTTTACAAAAACAAGCAACCAAAAAAAAAGAAACACATAATAAAATAGTAATATATATTTTTTTCTTATATAAAATGTATTTACACCTCTTTTTTTTTCAAAAGAAAAGAGAGTAAGTATGTATCCGACCTGGTAAACTATGATGTTTTTATTTATTTATGACGTGTAGGATACGTATTATACATCAAATACTTTCCTACATGTTTTAAAGCCCATATATTATATGTATTATATCGATTCCCTACATATGTACTTTTCAATTTTTTTACACCAATCATATTACTATTGGGATAAAACTTGTCATCGAACTAATCATACAGACTAATTTCGGCAACATCCACTCAAATGAAGTAAAGTTAAGACCGCCCTTTTCTCAAACAGCCGGTAGAAAAGATGTCAAAAAGCTTTTTACTGACAGTGACCCTGCCAGAATTGACACGTCTCTGCATATAATACGTACTGACATCACTGTATATATATAATATGTACGTAATATAATACGTACTTTATGTATTTTAATGCAATATATGTAGTAAACTATAATACATGCGTATTATTTTCCTACATGTAAGATACATATATGAAAAACTTTCCTACATGTATTTATTTTATACCAGATCAGGAATGTATACAATATTTATGTATTTATGTAATTTGTTTTCAGTAGTTGGCTATGATTATTGATTTATCACGTATTATTTATATGTATTCTACCAACTAGCTCTTTGTCCATAGACCTCGGAGCTCGGATAGATACACAAAACTGTCGTCGGCGTGTCTCGGTGATATAAAAGCTCGCTGCATATATACATTCTTTTTAAATGTATTTTGCTGACCACATATAAATATTAACAAAATCAATGTTCATAGACTGATAAATTTAACCCTACCGAATCAAGTGACAATGTCAAGGATAATTCTTATAACCGGTTCAACCGACGGTATTGGATTAGAAACAGCCAAGATGCTGTATTCCCTTGGGCACCAGGTGCTCATACACGGCCGCTCAAATGCAAAGCTTAAAGCCGCAATGAAGATTATATCCCAGGAACCTGGCACTGGTACTTTAGAGATGTACAGAGCTGACTTTTCTATCTTAAAAGAAGTGGAAACGCTTGCCAAAGAAATTGCTACTAAACACGATAAGTTGGATGTTCTTATCAACAATGCGGGTCTACTGAAGACCTCTAATCCTCTCACACAAGATGGCTTGGACGTGCGATTCGCAGTGAATACTATTGCACCTTACTTGCTTACACGGCGATTGCTACCACTGATGGGTCCTACAGGAAGAGTTGTGAATCTATCCTCAGCAGCCCAGGCGACAGTGAATATCAACGCGCTAGCAGACGGTACTTCTGCGACACTTAGCGCAGGCAGTGCATACGCGCAGTCCAAGCTTGCGATCACGGCCTGGTCGCACAGTATGGCACTTGAGCTCCAAGGGAATGGGCCAGTCGTTGTAGCGGTGAATCCAGCCTCTATGCTGGGTACAAAAATGGTACAAGCTGGGTATGGGGTAACAGGGGGCGACATCCGCGTTGGCGCTGATATACTTGTACGAGCGAGTATCAGTGATGAGTTTGCCTCGGCTACAGGGAAGTACTACGACAACGATATAGGTAGATTTTCATCACCGCATTCGGATGCCTTGAACAAGGCTAAGACAAAGAAGATTGTGCAGGCGATTGAAGATGTGATTGCTGATAGAATATGATGAACAACAAATAAAAGTCGAAAGTCATAAATACAAAGTGGGAAAATAGTGACGAGTTTGATATGGATTCAGTAGTCAGTTACACGCATATTTTTCGTATGTAATACTGCATATACATCCTTCGAACCCTTTGCACACCCGGTCACCCGCACGACAGATGATACAATCTACAGTAACTTTTTAGGGCCTTTCTGTTGAAAACTGCAGCTACATGTTGCAAGCATGTGAAATATCTAGTTCTTACATGCATGAATATGCAGTCATAATTTATAGAATAAGATTAGTGTGCTTTCTCACGCCTATACCTTGGTTGATAGAGTGGCATGTTTCTTCTCCGAGAGAGTCTCTAGCGTATGTATTTGACTATGCAATTGTAGATGTAGTTCGTTTACGGTGAATTTGATCACTGCTTCGCCTCTTTCAAATAAATCAAATCATTTACTGCATAATATAAGTTTCTCGACGGGAGTGCTCGCTCTGTAACGAAGGAGGTGGCATATCCTACAAAATGAAACAAGATGGTGGCCACGAATCGGTGTATTACTGTGCTGTTTGGGACGATCGGTTGAAAGCTAAATTTAGATCTCAATAGATCAAAAGAGCTGCACCTATCTGAGCATCGTAGAATATAATCAATCAGTCAATTCCAGAGACTTCCAGAGCAACCCGGAATGGACCAGGATACCATCAACATGGAGAGCGAGAACGCCGAAAAATACATAGTTGATCGATCGGATACTTTCGCTCATATTTCCACACATTTTGCCTTACGAGCTGCGTCAAAGTCATATTGTCCTGTAGGCTACGTCATACAATTGATGTATACATATATACTTGTATACATGAAAACATATTAACAAACTTACAAACATACGTATATCATATACTCATATGAATATTTATACATATGAACAAATATAAGTATATGCATATATACCTATGTACATTTATACATATATACATGACAA